GGGTTTTTGAAGACCCTTCTGAACCCAATGGTTTCCAACTACCAAGGTCCCCCAAAATGGATCCATGATATTATCTGCAATGGCTATTCACACAACTGAAAAAGAGTATAGCCTAGCAATAAAGACACCTAAAAAGTCATTAATGAAAAAAAAACAGGTCTCATGCACAGTGCAATTCTGTTATCATCATTTATGGAGTGTTGCCACTAATGATAATGGTAAAAATTTCCAGCTTCAGAGCACTGCTATGAATCAATATGTCAGGCCAAATAGTAGAAGAGAAAATGGAATAAAGTATTTTCTATTCTTGAGACTGCACACTACTTGTATTTGCTATGACTATTTCTGAGGCCCCAAGAAACTTCCAGGAAACTCAAATCTTTCGTGGTGATTCATCCGGCAGGGCCCTACGCAATTTTTATTGTGGATTGTTCAAATTTTAAGGAAATTAGTGTCTATAGACACAGAGTGATCTTTCAGACTGAATTTAGATCCAGTCATGGATTACAGAGTGAAATCAGAGGAGGACTGAGAGACATGATCAATCAAGTTCATTAAAACTAGAGTTTTTATTCCCTTCTCTGCAGAAGGATGCCTAAAACTTGCCCATTAACTGCATGGGAATCGCTGCATCATGGTCTTGCATTTTTTTCAGTATTTTAGAAAAACATGTAGAAGGGGCACAGACATATACAATGAAATATTCTATGTGTCAGAAAAAGAATGCTGTAGGGCTGTATTCTAAGAGATACTTCTTATTTGACGTTAGGGAAGTTATTTTATTTTGTTGGTCTATCTACATCTTTCAAAAAAAAAAAAAGATTTAAAAAGTCAGAATAGGACTGGAAAAGATGGCTCTTGCCTATAATCTCAGCACTTTGGGAGGCCAAAGCAGGAGGACTGCTTAAGACCAGGAGTTTCAGACCAGCCTGGGCAACATGGCAAGACGTCCGTTTCTACAAAAATGTAATAAAATGAGCCAAGCGTGGTGGTGTGTGTCTGTAGTACCAGCTACTTGGGAAGCTGAGTCGGGAGGATCACTTGAGCCCAGGAGTTTGAGGCTACAATAAGCTATGATCCTGCCACTGCACTCCAGCCTGGGCAACAGAGAGAGATCCCTGTCTCTCTCTCTCTCTCAAAAAAAAAAAACAACAACAAAAAAAAAAAAAACAAAAAATCTCTCTCTCTCTCTCGTAACATAATTATCTTACAAAAAAAAAAATTTCTGTAATGATTAATACCCTTTGCTTTTGGAATAAGGATATGCTATCCATAGAAGTAAATTACTATCATTATTCTTTAAGAATAAACAAGTATAAATCCATTCTTCAGTTCCTGTCTCTTTTCATTTTCTAATAATGACTTTCAATTTTTCTTCCAATTTTTAAAAAAATATCCCCATGCCTTAAGTTCCACCCTTCTTGGCTCATATATTTTACACAAAAAAAATTCTAATAAATAATATTACCATGAGTTCCCAGGACTACGAGCTTAGACCTGTTACACTATTAGCATTTCACACTTTTACTATCATTCTCCATTTTCAATTCGTCCACGTCACAAAGCTAGTGGGAATATTATATGGAGTATTGTACACCTGAAAAGTTATTGTTGGTTTTGTTTGTTCATTTGTTTGTTTGAATCTGGGAAGAAATAAGGTGGAAGTAAGGCTAGAAATTTCTATAAAGAACATAATTTGCAACTGAAGGAAGAAAAATAGATCTTCAGTTATTTCTGGTTAATTTAGGATTCCACCAGATATACAGGAAGAAAGAAACAAGCCCCTACCTACAGCACCTTCCTCCTCCTCCTCTATACCCCCTACCCCCCCCACAAAAAAAATCCAGTGTGTAAAAGTTGTAGAGTTGGGGACCTGGCCTTAGGTAACGGGACAACTGGTAAAGCTGATGGCATTCTTCACTCAGCATGGGGCAGTGCTCCAGTCCCTCTACAACAGGAGCGCCCGGGCAGCGCAATCTCCCTTTTTGTGATCACCAGTGCCATCAGCAAATGCCTGAAGGAGGAACAGCGGGCTCCCTCACTTCTTAGGGACCCTCCCACATTCCTCCCTTCAAGTACATTCTCCCATCCTAAAGAGGGGATTTGCCTTCTGTAATTTAAACGATAATTCCCTTAGGAGTCTTAGAATTGGCTTTCTTACTGTGACTTCGTATATACAACTGGACTAAAAGGCAAGCCAAAAAAATTAAACCACAACAAAATATTAGAAGCTGAAAAAGAAAAAGCTACATAATAGCTGGATATTAAACATTACAATATCGCATTTAGGACGCAAACAGCGCTGCAGTGCAAATGGAACTTTAAAAAATCTGCCCGCCCACTTAGACAAAGCTGCTTTACAAAAGCGCAAGCATCGATGTCAATCGTACCCTACAACAAAGCATGGTTTAAAGTATCAGTGTACATTTTTTCCTAAACACAAGTTGCAAGTAAGTTATCTAAAATCGAACGCCGCCACGAAAGAGACCTCCAGGGTGCAATAAATAGGTACATCTCGTTAAAGCGGAGAAATGGCATCATGACCCTTTGGGTTGATGCAGACAGATTACAGTGCGGAGGCTGTTCTCGAGAGAGAAACCAGAGAACCCAGCGTAAAATGCTGTAGTAGGGGAAATCGACCAAAGACGAGATTTTGAAAGCCTTGAAGGTCGTTTTTCTAGCTAAAAAGAAGTGACTTATTCAGAACGGACTCCCCCCGCCGGTCCCAGGAAACAGGAGCAGTCCAGCGCGCCCGGGAGTCCCGCAGCGCCGTGCGCACTGCGGCTCCAGAGCCAAGGGCTGGAGCCCGCCAGATTCTAAACCTCCTCGGCTGCCGCAGCGCGCCGGGGCCGCGCGCCCTGGTCCGCGCGACTCCGCGCTCCGGGTTTCCGCGGTCACCAGCACCGGCGGAAGAGCCCTGCAGTGAGGGAAGAGCCGCGGGCGGTGTCCCGGGAGTCCCGAGAGCGCGTCCCTTCTCTGCACAACCTCCCCTAGGCGTCCCGCCCGGGAAGCCAGTTCCTGGGTTCTGGGCTGGCCAGGTTGGCAGTGAATGAGGCTTAGGCGTCACTGCCTGAGGCCTTCACTTAGCATGTCGGTAGCCACAGACTTGTCTGGCGGAGTTTCTCCTGGTGCCCACTTAAGTAGTCTCAAGTTTGTTCAAAGCTGGACTCCTCGACTTGGAACCAGGAGCAGCTGGAGATTTGTCAATTTAGAGCTCATTTGCCACGGGAGACGATCTTGGTGTCCCCCAGCACCGCAGGGTAGGTCAACTCTATAGTTTTCCTGAACGTGATAAGGTGTGTGAAGACGCTGTGCAAATTGTACAGCGCTCTGCTTTAAGGAGAACGTCGAACTTCATCGCGCCACCAAAACTTCCCTCCTTTGAAAATAAAACTCCCACCTGAATGTAAAGCCCAGGAGGGGGGTTTTGTTAACCGCACTTATTCCCAAAGTATGAAAGAGTTTCTAATAGTTTTGTAAAGTCTTCAGTGAATAATTGTTGAATGAGTGCAGGTTCAACATAAACACCTGAGGAAACTGGTCTGGTTGGGAACATCTGGGAATTCTCCTTGCTTTTCTGGTAGGGAAGCGACCGACCAAACATTTATTGGGCACTACTCCTTGCCAAGCCTTCTAGGCTTTGGGGCAGGCCAATGGGGAGCCGGGGGAGGACTGGCAAACCTGTTAGTTGTTCAAGGACACAAACGGGGCTTTATACCATGGCCTAATCAGAGCCCTTAAACGTGGATTCGCAAAATGGTTCATTCCCGCCCTTTCACCCACCCCCTCCCACCCCAGATGCAAAGCATTTTTTTAAAACACTTAAGTGCATACAGAATGCGCTTGCCTCAGGGTACACAGGGCAAGAAGCCTCGGATCCCATCTCCTTTTAACACACATTTTTCCAACGCCGTTCTGGACTGAGACTGTCCGGGGCACTGGGTGCTGGAGGAACCGGCTCCCAATGCTCCTGCAGAAGACCCTCGTATGAAATGGCCCATGACAAAATGACCACCATAACCGTTCCTTCAGTAAGCCAGGTAGACGAGCTCACAGCTTGCTGGGAAGTCTTCCTTCGGAGATTTCTGCAGTTTTCTCCTTCACCTTACAGCCTGACAAAGGGTGGGCCGGGGGCCGGCTAGGACAGAGAGCAGCGGGAAAAGCGGCTCCACGTGTTCCATCTCTGCCCTCGGCCTTCAGCCACCAGGTTCGGTAACCGCGGGGCGTGGCGAGCCCAACCCGCACTCCCTCGCGCCAGTCCAGGTGCAGGTTGCTCGGATAGTCGGACTCCCTTTTCCTATGTACTTTCCTTTTGAGTTTCTGCTAAAATCTGGAGACGTGGAATCCACCCGCGGAAACTCCGAGCCCCTCCGACTGAGCATGCGCCATCGCCAGGCGGCTTTTGGTCACAGGCTCCCGAGTTCTCCTAGCTGGGGCTGCGGAGCTGAGGGAGGAGGGAAGAGAGGAAAGGGGAGGGGGTGCCTGGAGAGGCGGAGGCTCGCGCGCCTGCGCATCCAGCTCCAGGGACCCTAGATTTTCTATGGGATTCCCAATCTGCAGCAGAGATTTACCCGAGCGTGTTGCGGCAGCGGCTGGGCTTGCTAGGCGCTATCCAAGAGGGATTTAAGCAGCCCAGAGCTCCGGAGAAAAAGAGAGCGAGAGAGAACCACACACGCTTAAGCGTTTACCCGAATTAAATATATATTTTTAAAAAGAACTGTTGAGTTTTATCATTTTCGTTAAGTGACCGTGCGCAGCGCTATAACTGTAAGTGGAAAATACAATCTTCGTTGCATTTCTGCATGTGTAATGCAACCAACTGTCAGAGAGATGCTTTGGCTATTGTCACATACTTTGCTTTGCATAGATGCGTCTAAATGCATGGTGACAATTGCCTTGCTTAATGCTGGCGATCTGAATGTGCTGTTAGTCCATGGGGGATCTTTTGGAATATTGTGGGTGGGGGAAGGGGGAGTGTTTATATGCGGCGTGTTTGGGGGATTGTCTTAGACTAGATTTAAGACAGGTGAAACTGAGATGCTTTCTTAGTTTGTCTTAGACAGATTTAAGTAGCTAACTGACCGATTGTGAAGTTTTCCGGTTGCTGATAAAACTATTGAGCGGGTGCAGTCGAGTAGCAACCTGTCATCCGTGGGATTGGTGCACCATTTTTCTCACCGTGGAAGGGCAGCAAAGGTGTTTGCTAAGTAAAACTGAGTGGATGAGATTGGTATGGAAATCATGGTTGATCTCTGAGCGGGATGTTAGTGTTTAAGATCCACGGAGTCAGGAGCTAAATGAGCACATTTCTCTCAGTATTCAGAAATGAGTAGATAATTTTTTCGTTTTTGATTTTTCGTCACAATGGTGAATGGGCAGAAAAGGGAAAGATGCTCTACCGCACTGTCGATTTTGAACGGAGTCACAGATTCGGTCGCTGAATGGGGACTGTCAGACCCAAACTAGTTACCTGCCTTTGCATTCCGCGTTCGCCATCCGGAATCTGGGGTTAAAAAATGTAAATCAAGGTGTGTTACATTCGGTAGTATTTCTTTAAAGGATAAAAGGTCGTTTTGTGTTTTAAGTTAAAATGGGTTGTTCCTTGCCCAGAAACTGGAAGAAGGAAGGGTCTTTGCAAGGTCAAACCCCGAGTGGAAATCAGAATGCTGAATACCCTCAGGGGTACCAGAATGTGTATGGGGAAGGAGCGAGGAGAGGCTGATGCTCCCTGTGTGGTGGAAATGATGAGTGCTTAGCATTGCCTGATCAGTGCCCTGTGAGATGCCAGAGTGGGAATCCATTTTTCTAGAGTTGCCCTCCTGTCCATATTTTGGAAACTAAAATAAAATAGAATTGTTGGTGGGTGTGGAAAACACTAAGTACATACTATTTGTGTATCACTTTCCACTTGAAGGCAAGAGAAGCTGGGGAGTTTTATTTCTATGTATTAATATCTATTTTAATTTCTAAAGGAATTTCAGGTTGAGACAAATTTAAAATGAAACTCTTGTGAAAACATATTTTACCCCCACTATCGTTTAAACTGCCTACGTGTGTTTGTGTGTGGGGGAGGTGGGGAGTAGGGGGTGATCCTGCATCATTGAAGAACTTACTCATGAATGCACTCTCATTAAGCCTTGGGTGTTTAATAACCCCAGAAAATGCTGCACTGAAGCTGGTTGGCAGAATGGGAGGCAGAAAGATGAGAAAAAAGCATGACTAGTGCGTGCTGGATTTCCACGAAATAAGCAAATCCAATTTTGGGGATGAAATGAAATAAATTTTCCTTCAAATCAGGTATGGGGGCCATCAAATACGGCTCTTTGGCCTTTGATCAGTCCAACCATTTGGAACCCCTCAAAGGAATTTATAATTTATTTAAATGCATGAAATTTGTAACCGAAAATTCGAGAAGAACCTCTCATTGGAAATCCAAAGTATAAATCATACTGCCTTGTCTATTCCTTCTTTCCTTACTCCAGGGCAGAAGGACTAATCATTTGTCACAGTTGAGCCATATTCCTTGTCATCACTGAGCATTGGCATCAGTTCAATGAATGGTGCAGGTGTTGGCACTGCATTGATAAAGAGGGATGGTAGAAGAAAAAGGGGGGAATTGGGTATCAAAACTAATAAATCCTTGGTCTTGGAGTTCCTGGCTCGTAGGTTGACAGAGAGGATCAAGTTAGGTAGAGACCCTGTAAGGTATCTAGTCCAAACTCCTTGCTTTGTAGATGAGGAAACTGAGGCCCAGAACCATGGATCTAGAGAAAAGTCAATTAAGTTCTAGTCTATGGAATAAACAATTAAAAAGTAATGTTGAGTGTAAATGTTTCCTTCTCTCCTTCATTTTCAGCAGTCTCAGTGACATTGCTGCAGACTTCAAATAAATAACTGTCTGCTCTCCAGCACATCTTTTGAGATTGTCTCTAGGGGTCCCTTTTTATACCACTTCATTTCTCTTCCTTGCCTCTCTTTGTCTTTGTAAGGTCTCTTTCTCTCTCTTTTTTATTGCCCCCTCACCTCTACTATCCCCACCTCATTAGATGTTTAGTCTGGCTTTTCTGGCCTCCTCTGCATCTCAGTCAATTTCTTTTGAAACCTTGGCGTTTGGGGGAAGCACTAGCGTATCAGAATATGCAGTTTCTGTTTGAGAACTGCCCAGGGCCCATTTCCATCCTTTCCCTGCTCTGTTCCCCAAAATTCTTCAGGGAATCCAGCCTTCAAAGACACTGCAGTTACATTGCCACTTTTCTCCCTATCTATCCTCCTCCAAAACCACTGCAGCTGCAGAGATTAGGACTTCGTGGAGTGAGGAAACTGCAGGGTAAACCCAGAGTGGACTTTGCCAACTCTCCTCTGGCTCCTAGGAGGCAGAACCCAAATTAGAGATGCCTGTCTCCAGCCTTCCTGGAAATCCTCCAGATAAAGCCACCTGCAGAGAAGGGAAAGGGAAGGGACAGAAAGACCGAAGGAAGAAGGTTTGACTGGTTTAACCTGAAGTTGTGCTGTAGAGGAGAGTAGTGCAACGTTTTCATCCTTTAAAGCTTTTAAAGTATTTGCATAGCTTTTCCTCAGGCAGATCTTTTGTTTTATTCTTGCGCAGTTTCTGCTCTCATCTTGCTGGATGAGGACTGCAAAGCAGACAAGATGACCTGCCTAACTGGCCTTCCCACCTTCCTCCTGTTTTTTCTCCTTTTTTTCCTCTTTTGCTTTCTCCATTTCCTCCTTCTTTTCTCCCTTTCTTCCATAAAAATTCCCTGAGTGCCTATACAATAACATTCTACGCCTCCTAAAGATAGTCTAGGCCTTCCTGTTTTCTTCTCCAGAAATGTAATCTCCCAGGCACTCAGAAAGATACTCACAACTACCACAAATGCGGAAATACTAAGGATTCTTACCTGAAAAAAGCTGAGGCATTAGGAAAGGAGGAGCTTGAAAACTGGAATGCAAAACCAGAGGAAGGCCCAGTTGGAGTTTCTTTCTCATTTCAAAGATTAGGTAACTACTCTTGGAAGTTGTTGAAGCTTTTAAGAAGCAAGGTGGTGAGTTTCTCAACACCTTTACCAATTAACAATTTAATTTAACCCCTCCTCTGTCGGTAAATCTTTACTGAATTGGGATGAGCTCTGTCTTGGATAGAGTCTGTTTCTGACAAATGCTCTTGGGTTAGTTAGATGTTACCTGATCTTGCTGATATACCCATTCATACACCCTTGCAGAATACCCATTCCAAGGTATTCTGAACACCAGATAGCCTTCCCAGAGATGTGGAGATTTGTAGTTGCTAAGTGCCCTGCTTTGATTTACTACACTGTGAATCACCTCCCCATTACATGTGAGTCACATGTGATAGGATTACGGCATCAGGAATATCGTCCTGGGCAAGCTATAGATTTTCTGTTTGGGTTGCATGTAGTTATGAATTCCAAACGTTGTGGAGAAGCTCCCTAGGGAGTTTCACAGAATAACAGTTCAGCATCAGTATAAAACATGTGGTCTCCTAATTGACAACAGCAATATATTTTCACTGTTCTCAAGGTCTTTTTCTTTGTTTTGAGTGATTTATATGCTCCTAAAATTAGTGATTATTTAGGAAAATAGGAAGGCTGTCTTCACAGAAATGATCACATTTAATTAATCTAAGGTTGAAATTGACAATGTCCATCTTCATTATGTATAGCGAATATAAACATATTAATTTTCCTAAAGTATCAAATGGTACAGAGATATATTAAAGAATGATTGATATTTTTGCTGTCCCAATGGTTAATTCATATGATTAATAGAATATGTGAGCTGGACAAGATCCATATAAGTCACCTAATCCATCCCTCCAATCTATTTTTAAAAATAGTATCTTCAGGAAGTTTTTTTATCTTAAAGGTGCCCCTACAATATGAATTCACTGCCTAGAAGAGCAATGATTTTAATGACCTTTTAAAATATTTCCACAATATCAGTACAATGTCTTTTATAGTGGAAACTCAATATTTGTCAATTAAATATTTGTTCTAATAAGAATCAGTTGCATGTACCTTGTTAATTATATCAACAAATTAAATTTCTACTAAAACCATGTGCACAATTAACATTTCTTTAAATATCTTCGTTAATAATGAGAAAAAACTATATTAAAAATTATTTTATACCTGGGTGACAAAGTGAGACACTATCTCAAAAAAATTATTTAATGATTTATTTTTTGTAAAGATATTAAAGCATTATATTAATAAAAAAAAGAATGCTTTTAAATCTATTTACATGTGTATTCTCCTTTTTGTCTCTTAATAAGTAAAAAGATAAAGTATTTTTACCTATTTACAAGAATAAGAATATTGATAAGTAAAAGTGAATCTAAATCTAGACTGTGGTAGCTATGTCCTCCACTTAGATCATGCTCCCTTGAACTATGGAATTATTTTAACATGTTCACACTGTGAGGGGACCACAGCATTGCATTCCTCATTTACAGTTTGTTTCTAAAGATAACTTATGCTCTCTAAAATGAATCAAAATAGTTTGTGTTGCTCCCAGCTTAAATCATTGAGAACTTTTACTAATGGAAAGGTCTTGGAGATGCTTTAGAAACTATTTAATGAATGAAACAGAAATGGAATAGTAAATTACTGAGGAATCTTCAAAGAGGTTTGACACTTTAATAATAAGGTGCCTGTGAATACATTCAAGAGCTGTTCTATACCCCTATCAGCTAACTTAAAGCATGCAGATCGGGTGATTTTCACAATTCTTACACTTTCTCTGAATTTCTCCACCTCTTTACTTATTTACTGCAGTCCTAACACAGATGACCTGCTGTGTAACCATCAATTGTTTATTCTTTTTTTTTAATGCATGGTAATTCCCAGGATTTGTTGGATTATTTCCAGGTGAGCATTCTATTTCCTTTTGTTCTAAATTACAATTAAGACTTGGAATACTCTCATTCACTAAGTGGTCTTCAAGCTCAGTGTACCTAATACAATAATTACTGAACTTTTTGTAGAAAGTAGATCTCTTTTACTTAAAGTAGATTTTATTTTTATGAGGCATTGCTCATAAAAAGCAAAGTGTTAACAAATCAGTTAAATTTATCTGCAATTATCATCGATCCATAGAGAGAATCCTATTCATTGTTGCCCATATAGTACTTTTCTGAGAATAGAAATCTCTCACTTTTTAAGTACATTTTTTCCTCATTTTTTTGGATCTTGTTTATTATTTCTTAGGCTCTGAAAGACTATGAACTTTTGAGGAGCTTTATGTAAATAGTTTTTGGGTTTTTTTTGGCAAATCATTAACATGTTAAATGTACTTTGAAACCTGGGTGAATTTTTTCTAATGTAAATCAACAGATCCTAATATTTCTGTTATCTTATATTTTAGGATCTTTTTGCAATTCAAGAATTCTTGAAATTATAAACCCTGGTGCTACAGGAGACTAGTGTTTTATATTTTTCATTGGTTTTAGTAATTTGTGATTAGTGTGTTTATTTCTGATTTCTTGAAGTCTAATTTTAAATTTTGA